CCCCCACCCCCCTTTTCCTGAAGGGAATCCTGCGCACGCCTATGGGCCTACCCCTTTCAATGCTGACTATTTCGCTGCTTACAGTGTGCTCGAGGTGCCAGGAGATGTGCCTCTCGTCGAAGTCCAGCTCGCACACAGCCATGTTTTCTTGAAGCAGCTTGTCAGCGTGCGGAATCGCTCTCCACCACTGTGCTAACAGAGCTTCGTCCTTTGGAACGCCCGAACAATGCCCGTTTCTTTTTAGATGACTTGTAGCCTGTAGTGCATCTTGGATGAATCAATTACTTTGTTTTCGTTCCATGAGAGTGCATACAGAATCATTGGTGTCAGAGTGCATCCGCAATAAAAAAAAAAACGGGAACGAACACGCCCAACGAAACTGTCGGAAACATGCAAACAATGTATAAACGACTGTGCGCACCCCCTCGCGTCTCCTCCGCCGAGGCTTCAGTGCACTCCGTAGGCGCCGCTTGCCAAATATCGCACTTCCCTATTCTAGCCACTGCAGCGCTAGTTCCCTTTCAACTCACCGCATCAGCTATAGTGCTGGCTATCGGCGACACAGGTGTTTCTCCTAAACCTCCCTTCAGCTACAGTGAGCCATCTGCGCCGTATAGTTTCACACGTTTCTGATCAGTGCTTTGTCATCACTTTAGCCGGATGAGTGGCTGATTATTAGTGGTAGATGACAATATTGGCAGTCACGCTGGCTCCATAAAAGATACGTTGTTTTGAGATATATTGTGCTGCCGTTCGTGGTGCTATCCGTCCATCTGGAATCTATCAAGTGACCGTCCCGCACTCTGTAGCTCGTTAGCTACGTACTGGTGCGTTTACTTGCTTTAGATTCATATCCTTAAGCTTCGACAGCAATGTATTTGCGTGGATTCGGCACCATTTTCGGAGAACATAGTAAAAACAATCAATGTTTGCAGCTTCGTGGCACACTTTTAAATCTCAGAGAACCTACACTTTGTGTTTACGAGTTCTTGCTTATCTTCAATAACTGGCGCCACTTGACCATGCAGTTGGGCAGTGCATGTTATTCGCCGCTATGCTACGCCTTTGCGCTTTGTGTTACCGAACAAACTAAGAAGATGCTTTCGCTTTCAAATCCTGTGGCAGAGCGCCAAAGGCAGGTGTTCTTTTTTCGCCGGTCGTTGACATGCCAGGCACGCCGACTGGCGATGGTTGCTAACCAGGCCACTCCCTGAATCATGACCACTCCCTGATCTAAGGTGGATCGACGACGCCCGTTGAGAAGCCTGCATTTCTACTGGAAAGAAATAAAAAAAAGCATTGGTGCTGGGGGACATTCCACAACAAGGAGGAGATAGGGCTGCAGGAAGGGAAGGCGAGAAAGAAACTGCTGTAGCACTGCACCGTGCTCCCTACCGGGCTGCAGAAATTAGGTGCCTTTTTTCTATTTTAGGGGCCCTTCAAGTTTCCTAGCAAGTACCTGAGCCCCCTTCCTATTTTTACGTGAATTGGGAGGGTGGCGTCGACTCGTTCTTACTATTATTAAGCAATCAGTTATTTACTTAACATGCCCTGCAACAATCATGAGGTCTTAGTGCTGGCACATGCAAAAATAAAACAATACAAATAAACAATACAATACATACACGCTTCAGAAAAATCAAATAGTGAAAATACAGAAAAAAGAAATCGGCGCAAAATGGAAAAAATAAAAAAAAAGAAGAGAATCATGGAAAGGAAGCGAAAAATAAATAAATAATTAAATAATAATGATAATATTAATAAATTTCCGTGGTGCAACCGGCGTGCAAACGAAGAGACTTTGGACTTTTGGATGCCTTGAACTGGTGCGCCTCTCCAAGTCGGCGAACGCAATAAAACGGGCTGGGAGTGCGAAGCCCCTTCTTCCAAGGACTTCCCCCGAACTAGGTTTCGTACCCGCCGAAACTGCTCGAGCGTTTGCCTCCCTCCCCCTATCTCTACAATCTCTACCATAGAAACGTACGCTCGTGTCAAGGCACGGACAACTTTCTGCATCGGAGGCGTGCGAGTGCCTTTCGCGCCAATTGTTCTCTTCGTTTTCTGTGTTCGCCGCGCTACTACGCACGCTTGGTTGATTTTGGAAGTTTAGGTTTTGCCATCCGTCCGTTGCTACGTTTTTACTGTTTTTTTGTGATGGCCTACGGTAATTATATGTATATGTGGGGGGGGGGGGGGGGGGCAAAATTCAATCTCGCTATTGTGAAGTTTTCTAAAGAAAACTGGAACCGCTCCGCCGCCAAGCACTTCAGCATGAACGTTCTGAAATATCGGAGTAATGGCTATAGGTTACAAGGCTAGGGTATGTTCCCGTCTGAAGCATGCGAAAGGATATTGTCTGTGGCCTAGACAACTTTTTGTGTGGCAATGGGAAGGACCTACGGCCTAATTTGACCCTAAGTATTTTCGGATACTACTGCAAAGTGAGTGGAACGCCGTACTGGGCGGCATCAACAAAGCATGAAACAGACGAGTGGGTGTTTGCCATCCGTCCATCACGTTTTTACTGTTGTTTTGCGATGGCCTACGGTAATTATATTTATATGTGTGGGGGGGGGAGGGGCATAATTCAACCTCGCTGTTGGGAAGTTTGCCAAAGAAAACTGGAACCGTGCCGGCGCCAAGCACTTCAGCATGAACTTTAATGTGTGATGATCGGCGCGATCGGTACAGGAGAGAGCAGAGTGCACGCTTCCTAATACAAGTTTTATGCCGTTGAAGAGTGCCTCTTCAATTATATGCGAATGCTTAGGTCCTTCGGTATTGCCATGTCACGGGACCTAGTTTCTCCCAGCATTGTCGAGATCGAGAAAATGGGGCATTCGAACGCGCTCAACAGAACTGAGGACGATGCACTTTGGGAGGGTGGTGACAGTGCTCGTGACGATGATTCTCAATAGAAAATTTCAATCAGTGATTCCGACTAGACCGCGCGTGACCGGATCTGGCTGGTTAAAGTACGTGCTAACGCTGTTTAATTAACAAGTACACTTTGTCTATGCTTCATTTTATTATATTTAGTGTATATACTGGGGACGTTAGGACTATTGCACATTATGTCGTATGCGTTCGAGAAATCCCCGCGTAATTTGCGCACCCCTTTTTCGGAGCCCCAAAATCGTGAAAAAAAGTGCGCAAATAATGGGAGTAAATACGTTATTGTCCCATCGCTGACATCAGTGGTCTGTTATGCAAGTGTGTGGCGTAATAGGCGGCACATAAAATAAAGGTCCTTGAAGCTCTAAAGGTCTACCGCTCGTAAACATTTTTCTGGTTGTGGCGAAAATGAGAAGATAAGTCATCACACTAGCAGCAGTGAGCATGCTTTTATCCCATAAAAAAGGAATTATAATTTTAATATGTTGAAAGTTGACAAAGGATGACCCCTAGAATTGCCAATCAGTGATGGAGTTCAGTCTACTATCAAGACAAGAAATCTTTACAGGTTGACTCATTTCGCCTCAAAGTAAGCATGTATAACTTGAAATTGTAGTTTGCACACTTCAAGTAGCTTTAGGTTAATCCAGAGAGTAATTGTTACTTTTTTTCTTACACATTCAAAGAAACACTTGGTGGCGCTGCCGGCTTTAGCCTGCCTGCCTACGGCAGAGAAATGTGAGCGCTGCGTTTGGTGCCATTCAAGAAAACAGAAAAAAAAAGTGCTTTCGATCAATAGCAGCGCGACTGACTTCAAAATTTTCGGACCACACCAGTGAGTCCAATGTAATTGAATAATGTTGGGTGGGTCCTCGTGCGTAAAGTGCACACCAGTATTCATTGAGGTTCAACATAGAAGAAGGTTTTGCCATCACGTTTCGCTTTACCAAGGGCTCCGTACTGGCTCTCGTATCATTTATGCAGCGTGGAAAACCTGAACATAACTGAAACACAGCAAGGGCCTTCTGTTCTTTTGTGAAGCACATCTTATGTTTGTTTTAGTTGCAAATTTGGCATGAGTGGAACCATTGCAGTTCGTTTCCCAACGCTGACATACCAAAGTTGCTGGAACAGATCAACTTCCTGCTCGACTCTGGTGCTTTTTCATGCTGTCTAAACAAAGCTGGAGAAACCGTGGTAATAATGCTTATTGGACAATTTGCATGCTTTAGACAATCATTATGATATTGTTTTATTATTAAACAGAACTTTATGAAGCCTGCAAACACTGCATGCGGTTTCAGTTTTCAACTTCATCCAGCACTGCAATCGTCATCACCTCCACCAACCAAAGTTGTGGGCTTTCGCCACACCAACGATATTCAGTTCTGTTTTAAAATTTTCTGTTCACTTTCCAGACAAATCATGGCAAGGTTGCACACTTTAGACGCTGCACTTTTTATTGCAGTGCAAAACAGAAAAGTGATAAAGGACGGTAGATTTGTGGGCTTTTTTATGTGCCAGAACTGTGATATGATTATGACGCATGTCAGCGAAGAGGGGCGGACTTTTGGGTTAAATTCAATCACTTCAGACTTTTTGACCTGCTGCTAAATCAAAGCACATGGGTGTTCTTTACATTTCACTCTTGTTGAAATGCAACCATTGCGGCCATAAATCAGATCTGTGCCCTTGGGCTTAGCAGTGTGACACCTTGCATGCTAAGCTACCACAGTCATTTATGTGAGATTGTTGGCTTCCTTCTACATACAGCAGCATATTTCTATTGCATTTTAATGGGTGCATTGTCTACGGATTATGAACATTTTCTTACCATGTTCTTATGTTGAATAACTGCAGCCATTCCGTTTGTTTGTCTATTTAGATGAGGTAATTACTAGAATTTCATTTTCGGTTTAAGAGCTATTTTTCTGTCTTACGAATCACTTTATGTCTTTCAAAATTCTTCATTGGTTGCCATTTGTTATTTCATAGAATGGATATTTCAAATAGGAATGTGTCATGTCTTGGCAGAATTATGCAGAGCACTTCATGTCAGTGGGGTTGTAAACAAACATTGAATATTTTTGCCAAATTTGTTCTAGGGGAAGACTCAGACGTGCCCGTTCTGCAGCAAGGCCTTCTGTAAAAACTTTGACCTGCAGCAGCATATTCGCTCACACACAGGGGAAAAACCGTTTCAATGTGTCATCTGTGGTCGTGGCTTTGCCCAAAAGTCTAATGTGAAAAAGCACATGCAAACGCACAAGGTAAAGAAAACGTTTTGCTCTTGTTGTAAACGAAACATCTGTTTTTACATGTTCTTTTGCTATGTACACAAAAAGTAGAGATGCTGTATGCTGCTATACTCTTCACAATTACCTTGCAGCGCTGCCAAAGCTACAAGGAGTACACAGGCAGTATGCCTGTGTAGCACATAATATAGTTCCGGGTGTAATTGTGTCTTTATAAACAAGATACAAGGGTTCTTGCTGCGCTTCCTGCATGATTTGTTACAGCTATGCTCGGTACATTAGGCCCTTCGTGCATGCACTTCGCATTTTCTGAATTGTTGTTGCAATTACCCACTCGTAACATAATAATCACCCTGACTGCGATGATGCACAACAACATGGAAGCCCCCATACTGCCCAGACCGCCCGCTTCCATCCCAATTCATGCTTTTTACTGGCTCTTTGCCTAGATAGCAAGAAATAGGTTGCACAAACTGTCATTGCTTTGTCCAATCTAACGCTGAGGGCAAAGCATCAGGTGTTATCGCTATTATTTAGATTGCTTGTTTGTTTTGATGTTGCTTGAACAACTGAGGCAATGCGAAGCCGTAAAAGTGGTTTTATGCCTGCTGAGCAGATGGCACCGCAACTTAGTGATGCATTGAGGATGTGAAACAACCTGCGTTTATGCATTGTTGTCTGTGCCAATAATTAGCTGTTCCACTCAAGTGCCATGTGTAGGAATTAAGAGCGCTATGGCATGTCCGCTGAAAGAGCGTAGACTGAATCTTCAGAGCACTGTAGATAAAAGATCCAGTATTTTCCGTAAAAAGCAAGGTTAGTAGTGCTAAATGCATATGGGGCTGTCTAAAAAGAACTCTGTGAAAGCACCAGAACTAGCCCAATCCCACACTTTACCCTAGAATGAACGCTGTTATGAAATGGACTGCATTTCTCATCAACGCCAGCAAATGCGTCTTGTGCAAATGGGTTTCTGAACATCCAAAATAAAGGCGAGGTGGTGTTTCGAAGAGGTTTTTGCGCGTTATTCTAACTGCTTGGAGCAAGTATCGATAAAGTAGATGAGCCAACGTCAAAGATGACGAGCAGACAACACAACACAAATGGACGCATTTTAGGCAGCTTCCGCCTTTCATATTGGGTAACAAGCCCTGAAGCTTCCAGAGGGTCAAGGTACTTCTCAGATGGAGCAAATGCTTAAACTTTTAGGTGAATATATGAGGCACTTCAAGAAATGTGTTGAAAAATGCTTGAAAATTAGGGAAATGCCATATTTGTTTGCTGAGTTCACTTTTTCTTTGTTGCATATATCCTAACATCACCAGAGACACTAAATACAGCTAGTTTAAAATAATATATAACATCACTAGAAACACCAATTATAGCTAGTATTTGAAAATAACATAATAATTGACTTTTAATTGGTTGAGACATGCAGTTAGAAATAAATTGGAGTTTGGGCATCATTTTTTTGGCATTTCTTATCGCCAGATCGCGATGAAATTTTTGTCACATATTTTTTAACATCAGAAGAGCGCAGTTATTTCCGTTAAAAGCTCATATCACCTATACAATTATTATAAACTTGAAGTGAGCAATTAGTATAGGCTCAGAATTTTAAGACTTCTCACATTACATTTTTTCTTGTTCATTTATTATATGAACTTTCTTTATAGTATTTGCATTCTGCACTTAATGTTGAGCAATATGAGTTATTAATGGCTCATTATCATAAAAGTCTGCTTGCAGTTAAAGTTTGTCCACAGAAGAGCTGTATATTACACATTGTCATGGTACAAAACAAAACTGTGCAACTTCATATAAAGTTGATTACATATTTGATATTGTCATAAAAACCTATATAAATGATATTTAATTGCCCTTGGCCACAGATCAAAATAATTTCTTTTTTTTTTTAAGGAAGCATCTCCTCTTAACACGAGAGGGTCGAAATTTCCAGAGTTCTCCACTGCAGCATCTCTCATAATCATTTCATGGTCCTTGGATATAAAATACTAGATATTATTGACCTATTGTGCTTAAATAACAATTTATCAGTTTGCTTTGTGGGTGTGCCTGCTGTGTTTGCGATCGAACATGCATGTCGCATATAATAAATGCAAGAAAACTGACACCAGTGAAATTGTTTTCATGAACAGTAATCTCATTCTGGTAGTTTGTTAGTTGCGCTAATCGATGCTCTGGTTTCAGTTTTGCTGGTGAATTTGGTCGAGTTTCTTTTATATAGCACTAAATGAAAAGCTAAGTGGATTTCTTTAATTACTAACATAATTGCTGTCTGTAGTCATCCTAAGATATCTGGTGCTATAGAAAGAGTAATTTGAAAGGCAGCAAAAAATGACTTTTTGAGGGTCTTATTTGCTAAAGGTCTTTCTCTCGCTCTCTCTACCCATTGTTTCAGACAATTTTTGTGGATACATTTCTTGAAACACCTTGAATGTTTTGCCGCTACCAGCATGCAAACTGTGGGAACATTCATTAGCAAAACTTTCTGATGTCAAAGTCATTGTCTGTTTGATTATAAAATTTGGTTTTGAACATTGTGTTACAGCAAATTACAACTCCTTTTGTTGAATTTATGTTGTTAGTCAACCTATTTTTGTTTCTTTGTAACAGGTTTGGCCCAATGGCTTGTCGTGTACACTGCCACCACAGCTTGTTTCAGATGGCTCACAGTCATCTGTGGAAGACCCTAACGGCAAGGATGACAATGCAGGAATCAAGAAGGTCGAAAACCTGGGCACTTTACCACTTTCTCTGTTCCCTTTTTAGTGCAGTTTCTGCTATACATGATGCATTTTTGTTCTTCTTCATGCTCGTTTTTTAAAATGTGAGCTCTTTTCAGGCGGTTACTGCAGATGACGTAGCCCTGGTGAACAGCTATAGCTGCCCATTCTGTCCTTTTGTGGGGAAGACTTACTTTGAGCTCAAGAGTCACCTGACATTCCATAAGCAGGAAAAGGTATCTATCGTTGCATCCAGAATATGCAGTGATTTAGTGCTTCGAGGTGTTATATGTACTAATGGCATTATGCTGGGTATGGTTTGTGTAAGTCGGCAAAGAAGGTGGAGCTTACTCAGACTTGTCAAAATTTTTGTCAGCCGGACTCGCTCGGACTCAAACTCGCCAATATATGGCTCACTCGTACCCACTAAAGCTCATACTCACGGCTTGATTCGAGTGTGTATGAATCTGAGTGAGTTGACCCATGAGTGCATTAGCATATAGTAGCTTGTTATTTTCATTGTGGTGCGACACCACGGACCCGAGCTAACGGGGGAGTTTCTACTCCCTCCCACGCCTAGCCGTGCGTGGCTTTGCCGTGTCCGGGGAAAAAGGGATCCTGGGGGTTGAGCCGACGCTGGGTGATTGGACCATTAAAGCCCCCGGCAGAGGCAACACACCCCTTTGGCCCCGGCTTCACGTAGATGGCACCCCTGGGCTGACCCACCCAGGGGAAATCGGCAGTCGCCTTTTCCTATCTCTCTCTCCCTACATCTTCGTCTTTCGTTCTCACTTTACATCTTTCCTGTCTTCTCCTCACTTCATTTTACTTCCAATTTTTCCTGGCGGCAAGGGTTAACCTGGTGTAAATATCCAAACTTGGATAGATATATCAGGTTATGGCAATGGCGTACTACTGGCGTTGTGCAGACATGTTTACATGTTCTGCCACGTCCCCTTGTTGGGCTCCGTGGTGGGTGGTAGGCGCCATTACTGAAGGAACTGCACTTTTCTATGGGATCACAAAACCCCTTATCTATTGATCGCCCCTTCAAAAGGTGGCGCACCGAAGCAAATGTAATGCCGATTTCGGAAAAACAAGACCATTTCCCTAAGTACCACGTTATTCATTGCAAAAACTCGGACAAAAAAGCTCGCAACATCTCCCCATTCCTCGTGTCCAGGTGCCTAACCGAGACTATCGGAACTGGCTATAAGGCTACAAAGATGGCAAGCGGAGACTTGCTGGTAGAAGTTAAAGACAAGACACAGTGTCAGAAACTAGAAAAATTAGTAGCATTTGGGGACAAGCCCGTAACCGTCTCTGCGCACCGAACGATGAACACTGTCAAAGGCGTTGTGTCAGACGATGACCTAAAAGACCTAACAAATGATGAGCTTCTGGCTGGCTGGAAGGACGAAAATGTCATTCACGTACAGCGTATCGTAGTGAGAAGAGAAAACAAAGAAACTCCAACCAAGCACATAATTGTGACCTTCGGGTGCTCCACACTATCGCAAGAATTAGTTACCGGCTACCTAAAACTGTCTGTGAGACCCTACATTCCTAATCCGCGGCGCTGCTTCAAGTGCCAAAGATTCACACATGCTTCTCAGAGTTGCCGTGGGCAGCTCACCTGTGCACGGTGTGGTATCACAGGCCACTCTGCAGATGATGACTGCAAGGCCGAACCCCACTGTGCGAACTGTGATGAAGAACACGCGGCGTATTCTAGATCCTGCACAGCATGGAAAAAAAGAAAAAGAAATTATTACCATCAAAGTCACCCACAACATCAGTTTCCGCGAAGCAAGGCATCGGGTCTCCCCTTTCTATGCAACAAAATCATTTGCTGAAGTGGTGCTGCCCCCTCACCACCACAGCATCAGGTGGCCGCCCAAGCTACGCACAGCGTGCTGGAGCGACCGCCGCTTGCCCCTACTGCGGGAGCAGCCAAGGCTGCTCTGGCCTCAGTCAACTAGGCCCCACCACGGGCGTCGACATGCATTGGCGGCACGAGCCAGGGTAACGGGCCGACTGCGGGAACCCTGTCGACGTCCGGTGTAGAGGGTTTGAAGGCTTCGTATCTTGAGCCGAAGCCCACAACGCCCAGGGACCGCTCGGCAGAGCGACGGTCCAACGCTTCTCATGAAGCTATGGACACAACCGCCAGTCAAACGGCACCTGCTGCGCCGAAGGAGTGGCGAGTTTCTCTCGACCGCTCCAAAAAAGACAAAAGACAAATTACAGGGCCTCCAAAAAGCCCTGTAAAATAAGTTTCGTTTTCCATAACCTGAAAGGTTATGGTACTATTCTGTTTTGTCCATGAGCTTACTTTCCATCCTTGAGCACACAACACAAAACACATCTAAAATCATACAAATACTACAGTGGAATGCCAGAGGCCTATTAATAACCTAGATAATATCAAAGACTTGCTTAATGACTATCAGCCAAAAGTGTTCTGTGTTCAAGAAACTCATTTAATGTCGACTCATGTGAATTTCTTAAATCAATATGTGGTTTTTTGTAAAGATCGAAATGGTGATAACTTCTCTTCTGGAGGTGTGGCCATCATTGCACAAAGGAGCGTAGCATGCCGGCACATTGTGCTACAAAGCTCTCTTGTAGTTGCGGCTGTTAGCGCTATTCTATCCAACCGTCTTATATCTATCTGCTCAATCTACATAGCCCCTGAAGAACCATTCAATAAAACAGAGTTCGAAAAGCTTATTGATCAGCTTCCAGAACCATATGTGTTAATTGGAGATTTTAATGCTCACAGTTGCTATGGGGTCATACCAAATGTGATGCGAGAGGTCGTGCAATAGAAAACTGTCTTCTCGCATCTGGAGCCTGTCTGCTCAATAAGGCAAAGCGAATGGCAGGCGTGTTCGCCGTATAGCCAAACGGGAAAGCTGGACACGCTATACATCCTCAATAAACTCCTACACAGACGTCAGCAAGGTTTATAATAGGGTGCATAAACTTAAAGGACAAGGCCCAAATTCCTTCCCTTTGGTGAATGACTGCGGTGATACAATAGAAGAACAGGCAAACGCTCTTGGCGAACACTTCGAGAAAATGTCAAGCTCAGAAAACTATACCACTAAGTTCTTACACCACAAAAGCATAGCTGAAAGTGTACCTCTGTGCCGGAACAAGCCTGGATCAGATGGATACAATAAACCACTAACAGTATATGAACTGAAGCTCGCCCTTGGTTCCTGTGGAAGTTCTGCTCCTGGTTCTGATACAATTACTTATGAAATGATCAGAAATCTCCCTGATGAAACCCTGAACTGCCTTTTAGCACTTTACAACAAGATTTTCAATACCGGCAAAATACCCTCTGCTTGGAAAGAGGCAATAGTACTACCAATCCTTAAACAGGGCAAAGATCCCTCTTCGGTAAATAGTTACAGGCCTATCGCCCTCACAAGCTGCCTACTCAGAGTGTTTGAAAAAATGATTAACTGCCGCTTGGTCTATTACTTGGAATACAACGGCATATTGGACCCGTGCCAGTCTGGTTTCCGTACAGCTAGATCCACAACCGACAATCTTGTCCTCCTCGAGTCGTATATATGTGACGCGTTTGTACACAATCAATACTGTCTGTCTGTTTTCTTTGATCTTGAGAAGGCATATGATACTGCCTGGCGATACGGAATCCTGCAAAATCTACTGTCTTTCGGAATATGTGGCAGGTTGATTACCATCTTAAAAGATTACCTGTCTGAAAGGAAGTTCCGTGTAAGAATAGGTACTGTGTTATCGCGCACATTTCTTCAAGAAAATGGAGTGCCGCAGGGAGGAGTATCAAGCTGCACACTATTTATAGTTAAAATGAACTCTCTTCGCTCTGTTATTCCACCCGCGATATCGTACTCTGTATACGTGGACGACATTCAAATTAGTTTCAAATCGTGTAACTTGACTGTATGCGAACGCCAGATACAGTTAGGTGTTAACCGACTTGCAAAATGGGCTGACGAGAATGGTTTTAAGTTTAACACTGACAAGACTACTAGTGTGCTGTTCTCGAGACGACGAGGTGTGCATCCTGACCCCTGCATACTAATGAATGGACAAAACATAGTCATCGCGAAGGAACAAAAATTCCTCGGTGTAATTTTTTATTCCAAACTCACCTTCATCCAGCACATAAAACAGCTGAAGTTAAAATGTCTCAAGACCATGAACCTTTTAAAGATTTTATCGCATCAGTCGTGGGGGACAAACAGACACTGTCTCATATCTCTGTTTCGAAGCCTGGTTCTGTCACGCATAGACTATGGATGCATAGTATATCAGTCAGCTTCAAGGACAGCACTGAAAATGTTGGACCCTATATACCACCTAGGTATCCGGCTGGCACTTGGTGCCTTCTGTACCAGCCCTATTCACAGCCTTTATGCAGAGTCAGATCAGTGGCCACTAGACTATCAGCGCACGTATCTAGGAGTCAACTATGCAGTTAAAATCATGTCTCTGAAGCAGCACCCATGCAAAACACTTATGAACGATGTGTCTGCTACCCAGTTATACCTAAACCGTCCCTTCTATCGCCCCACCGCTTCCTTTGGCAATAAGACCTGCAGTAGAAAAACTTGCAATTTTTTTCAATGACTTGGAGGAAAGTGACCATGTCGAACACAATCCCTCCCCATGGCAGCAATGTCCAGTCACTTGTGACTGGTCTTTCAAATGCCATCATAAAGGAAAATTGTCCAAGTGCACTCATTGAGCAACATTTCTTGCCCTTGAACACAAATATCGTTCAACCGCGTTCTTCTCTGATGGCTCAAAGTCTCAAACATCTGTATCTTGTGCAGCCTATGGACAAAAGTTCTCGGACACCAGAACCATGCATACACATACCAGCATTTTCACAGCGGAAGCCTATGGTATCCTGCTTATTATCCAACACATTAAACAACACAAGATACAAAAGTCTATAGTGTACACAGATTCTTTAAGTGTTGTCAGGGCCCTGTCTTGTGGCAAGTACAGCAAGAACCCCTACTTTCAACAAGCTCCTTAACGAAAATCTATGCAGCCTACAACCTAAAACTTTCTATTGTTATTTGCTGGGTTCCAGGTCATTCTGGAATTGCGGGCAATGAAATAGTGGACAAGAATGCACGAGAAGCCGCTGGTCGGCAACCATAGATATAACCTCTGTTCCGGGTGTAGATCTAAAACCTGTTGTACGTAGAGGTCTACGCAACCACTGGCAAGCTGAATGGGACAGAGAAGTCGACAACAAACTCCACCTTGTAAAAACCCCAGCTGAGAAAAGTTATCCCACAAAAACTCACAGGTTCGCCGAAGTCACTTTAACACGGCTCAGAATAGGCCACACTTATGCTACACATAAACACCTTTTGACAGGTACTGATCCACCTACATGTATACACTGTGGAGAGAGTCTAACCGTTGTGCATGTCCTCATACAATGTCCTGTGCTTCACCAAGCATCGACTGACCCCATTTCAGGGAGCTCTATCGATATCATATCCCACTTCATCCAGCACTGTTTTTATCACTTGATGCAGTGGTTGACCTTAAGAGACTTCTTCATTATCTTGGGAAAGTCAAATTTTAACAATGATATCATTCCATCCTAGCCACCAGGCTGCGCCTCAAGTGTGAGGTACCGCCTGGTGCATAAAAAAAGTATGTCTGAGCCTTCGCAGTTCTTGCTCAGGCAAGGACTTCAGCTGCGAGGGTCTTGGGCCTTGCAGACTAATTTATCATCACAGACTTCAGCCAACGAAATGAAGGTTTTAGCAAAGTGACATTCCTTTTAAATGCACCGTGTTTTAAATGGTTCATAGATATTTGCTACTCATCATTTGTCTAATTTTTAAACTAATAACCGAAATGAAACAACACTTGTACTGGCACTCTTTGGCCTTAGATGCCCTTGCGCCAATAAAACTTAATTATAATAATAATTTTTATTCTGGTGTCAATGCTCTTTGAAGCCAATATCTCACATAATCAATGCTCTACATTAGCTTTTTGATGTCCTACCTTCAAAAAGACAAGTTATTAGTGGACTCAATCCACTGTTCGCCGCCATGCTGTAGCAGTTACAGTTGCTCAGCTGCTTACCCAAAGGTTGCAGGTTTAATCCAGGCTGCGGCGGTCGCATTTCAGTAGAGGTTAAAATGCTAGGGCCCCATGGCCAACACCAAATAAATGAATTTTTGAAGCCCTCCACTAAGCGGCCTCATAATCATATTGTGGTTTTGGCATGTAAAACCCCAGGTATTATTATGGTTGCAATCCAGTAAGTGGATTTTTATTGAAAGTCTTGATTCACATGAGCTTGGAAGAGATTGTGGAGGTAAGACAAGACACGACCTCTTTCTTTCTTAACTCGTGCATCTGTAAAAAAATATTGAGCTGGCACATAATGCTGGTGCCTTGAAACATGTGACTAGACATGGCTATACATGTGAGCAGACATAAGGCTGGTGGTAATGCTCAAGACGAGTAGGTAGGAATATAAGTTGGCAAAGAACTGGGGCTCACTTGCAGTTGAACTCGCCACATCTTTTTTATAGGCTCACTCGGACTCGGGCTGACTAAAATGTTTTCATCCCACACTCACTTGGACTCACTCTCCAAAATACTGCTCACCAGACTCACTCAGACTCATGGCTCAATCTGAGGTTGTCAGTCGACTCATGACTGAGTTTGCCAACCTATGTTAGTTCTAAGACTATTGCTGATCATCATGATAGCCACCATCATTATTGTATTTCAAATAGGCCAACACCAGTGAATTTTTCAAGTCAGTGATTGTCAGTGAACTCACTGGTTACATACTCCTGCATGTTTTTTATTTATGCTAACTACAGACTGAGAAGTGCACAATTTTTTTGTAGATAAGCTTTTTTACTACCTTGAACAATAACCAGGTAGAAAATTAGCAGGTTTAACTGGGATGCTATTACCGGTTACGCATTTGCGTTTCTTATGTCCTGTCAGTTACACCTACGTACACTCAGATAATTCGTTTGTCCTTATGTGAGCAAAATGTGCTGCTTTGCTGTGTTTTATTATATAACACCGCTGAGGGCATGGCTTGCATTCTGTATTAAGTGAATGACTAGTGGTTGGGGTACACGTCAGTCTAAACAAACGCACTGAATATTGTTTTGGTCTGTCACCAGCACACTTGTGGAAATATAAAAGCAGAGGTTAGGGCTATCTTGGTCTTCGCTGTGCAGGGGAATGTGCTGTGCTCACTTCGGAACAGTTGGCAGCAACTGGCAGCGGTTCAAGTGCAAATGACAATCAATGGTTGTGAAATTTGTCAGTTTCACAGCTCCAAGGTGGGGTTATGTGATAAGAGCACCCATCGACGAGTAGCATCTGCTAGCTTTTCGCCTTTGCCGTTTTTGTTCTCTGCTTTGGCCAGACTGCCTTGCTTTGTCTTCCCAGCCTGTCCATCTAAATAGTATGTAGTATAAAGGAGACACCATCAGGCTCACTTAGCTTTTGGTTTGGTTTTTGTGCTTTATTGTCAATTAGCATCTTCAAATCTGCTGAGCAATTTTACTATCAGTGACACTACAGAAGTGTCTCAAGAACATACAATTGCCGTTACCTTGACATTGTACAAAATTTCGGAGTTGGGGATTGAATGCCCATGATATGGGGAGAGCAAAACAAATGTATTTAAACTGAAAAGTAGAAAGTATTCCAAGAAAATGTAAGCAGGTAAAAGGTTTCTATAATTGTTATTTGTGAAGTGGTGTGCTAAGTGTGACATTATTAGATAAACCTCATGTTTTATGAAATTGTTCATCATACTAAGCTTATTTTTCAACGGGCATAAGGTGAATTTGTTTTCTGAGGATGTGTTAACTGTCTACTCTGTTTAGACACAATGATGGTTATAAAATACTGGGCCACTACCTTGTGACAATGATCTTTATTATGCTCATGCCTCCTTGCACTTTTTGTGCTTTATTTGGGGTCATGGTGACAATATGCCCAAGCTATCAGTGTAACCAGTGGGTCATAATGGATAAAGATGGCATGTAATTGAGCGGAAGTCATTGTTGCAAAATTGCGGCTCTGTTGCTGTGATTGTGCTTATGATAGTGCCTTTATTCCGTTTCAGGTGTTCAAGTGCATAGTGGGAAAGTGTGGCGAGACATTCACCGAGCTAGATTCCTTCTTGAGTCACGCCAAGAGTCATGAGAGCAACATGATGTATCGTTGTGGTCACTGTCCACGCACTCTGGCCTCCTTGTATGAACTCAATGTCCACCAACTTACACATTCACTTTGTGTGACCAGTGACAATCGTAGCATCAGTGTCACCATTGGTCGGGGCACAACTGCTGCCAAGGCCAACAACAGGCAAGTCAACCTGGGCAATGATAATGTCGAAGCTTTATTGGGTGCACTTTTTTTTCATTATTTGCCATTGCGAGTAGATTATTTGAAAAGTGAGTGCAATAATATTGCCTGTAGAGCTACCCTTCTGACGTACAAGCGTGTTCTAAATTCAGGATTAGTTGTAGTAGCAGTAGTAGCATACATTTGCAGACCTTGAGCATTCTGTTATTTAGGGCGCATAGTTAAACCTTGCTACACCAGGCTGCACTTTGGTGGAGGGAAATTGTAGTTTAATTCATCAAGTTATCACAGCAGATTCATTCAATGCTCCTTTATGCTATACTCTTCTTTGGTGCTTCATTACGCTGCTTTACTGGTTTAATTCTGCTGTATCTTCAAGCTCTGTAGTGCTGACTAGTTTGCTTTCTTGCTTTTGTGAATCTTTGTTGCCACTGTACAGGTTTCTGTAGCTCAATATTAAAATGTACCATCCAAGGGCTTGCTGAATATGCAGTGTGACATGACGTTGGCACGCAAGGTAATTCTATTCGCGGCAAGTTCAGGCTACAGGTGGCAGCACCGTCTCCACGTAAGTGTGGATAGGCGGTCAGCGGCAGGTGTACAAATACATGCGACAGCGCTTTGTGGTGTGCGGTCTGAGCCAATTGTCGGTGAGTGAAATACGTTGACTACAGTTTACTGAAAATATCTACGCTCCTCTCTACTGAATCGATGCACGAAGCGTTGCGAATACTACCCAGTGAAGCGCATTCTGCCTTTCAAAGGGATGCTTGCCCTGGGTGACTGTCTACGCTCTTTCAAACTAAATCACACTCTTGCTGTGTTTGTATGTGTTTAGCTTGTGTTTCACCTGCTACGCACTGCTGTAGCGGGACTGAACTACTTATTTACTTCTTCCTGATCTGTATCCAACAAAGAATAGAGAAACAAAGATTCTAGAAAACTTGCACATCTGTGTGATGAGTTCAGTACCACCATTCACACTTATACACATATGCATTTTTTTCTCATTCTGTTCACCATGAAATGTGGTACAGTAGATAAGTCTGGACAGGAAAGCTTAGTGGCTGATGGTGCCTTGTGTTACATTGTGTTCACCATGTATACATTCATGTTCTTGCACGAGTAGATATAAAAATTTTGCAAGAGTTATGAAGAAAGCTTTCATCAATAAGTTACGTGTGTGACACGGCTACAACAAAGGTCTGGTTGTTTCGTGGGACAAGCGTTTTTTTTTTTTTTTTTCAAACGAGAAATGACCACTGCCTTCTGTCAGTCAATAACAATGCCACACAAATGCTTAAGGTAACGTAAAAAGATGAGATTTTCAGTGAAATGATATAACAATAAATGTAAGACATGCCGTCTGAATTAATTTTGAATGTCTGGGCTTTTTAAAGCGTTCTTCAATCTAAGCACCCGGTAACTCAGATTTAAGTGCAGTTTAAGTACGGAAGTGTCATAGTTTTTGTGATAGCAATATTTCTGTGTCGTGGTACGACGGCCAGATAAACACAAGTAATGCTTCTCCCATAATTGAGAAACTCAGAAACTAAAGTGCTGTAGTTGTGCACCTATCAACAACGCGCAAGTGTGTGGCCTAGAGCCTCGTTTTTGTTTACAACCGAGTTGTTAAAATTCTGCATTCACACACCATTTATTAGTCCTCATGTTTGGGAGGATGCCAAGAGCACTTTACAATGTGCTTGAAGCAGAAGGTGGCACTCACTCAAATAATTCTGGTGAATGGGGGTACGACGACAATAACAAGCACTCTGGAAAGTTGCACTTGCTGTTGTTATTACAATACTTTAGCAGCTTAGCAAAACCAAATTCTTTTTTACGTCGTTTCAGGCATACGTAGAAGCAGTTACACTCACGCTGACATCACCGGAAAATTACCCTTTGAGAACGTGCATGACGTATGCGCACATAGAAATACGACGTGGCTAGTAGATGACGCACGGAACAATCCACACTCGCGCGCTTCAGCCAGTTGCCGCCAGGCGGGGACTCCGCTCGATATCGCAGCTAATGCAGGCAACTTGTAGAAGTGTCTCTATAATTTGTATATGAGCCACATATAATTAAGTAGAAAAGCAGCGTGCTTTTGGTCGTGCTTTTGGTCGTGCTTGTTCAATAAATCCAATATCTTGAAGATGTAAACATGTCATTGATACCTGCCCAGTGTTGAAAAAGACTGCCCATTTTGAAAGAGGTTATATCTCTATACAAAAGTGAAGGACCTTGTGTGACCTACTGCAAACACGATAATTTTAATGTCTCCTGCAGAATCTGTAGTAAATTTTAATGTTTGGAGTACAAAGCATGTCCCCATTTTCTGTCCACTGCTTGTTCAATAAATCCAATCTGTCAAGGATGCCAACATGTCATTGATACCTGCCCAGTCTTAAAAAAGACTGCCCATTTTGAAAGACGTTATATCTCTTTGAAAAAGTGAAGGACCTTGTGTGACCTACTGCAAAAACAATAATTTTTAACGTCTCCTGCAGAATCTGATGGGGAAAATTTTATGTTTGGAGTACAAAGCATGTCCCCATTTTCTGTCCACTGACTTTTCATGTGCACCTTTCACCTAAATCTTGCCTGTTTCCAAGTAATGAAGCTGATTTTAAAGGAAGTAAATAATATGACGGTTTCTTTACATAATAAATAACTTTTTTTTTTTTGCAGTGTCTTTATCTTAGTATTAAATAGCAGTAATTTTTAATGTCGGTTTAAATGGTAGAAATATGAGGTTCACATGTCTGTTAGATATTGCAGTGAGTTACAATAACACCTCATTATTCAATGCCCTCTTGACCTCTAGCACTATCTTGTAGTCCAGGAAAATCGACAATGTTGCCACGTTGGAATCCAGTATGTTTACGACTTTCTTGCATCATATCCACTGACTACATACTAAATGAACAAGGCACGTGACTGGGTCAGTTTTATTATTAAGACTGTTTCTTAGGATACTTCAACGTGAAAAAAATTGGTCTGTCTGCCTGTTGGTCTTTGTGTCCAACGAGTAAGCCACCCGGCGAAAGTTGAGCCCATGCTCAACGTCCACCCATGTTGATCTGGTTGCTGTGTTCATACTTATGAACATTTTAAATCAAAAAGCAAGTGGTACGTGTATTTGAGGTGCAACATCAATATGCAAGTATTAGGTAGACTTTTCTTATTTAGAAAATGCATAGGTACATAATTTTAAAGACCGAAGTGCTTATTACGCTGTGCTGGCCATGCATTGCTATGAACGAAAAAGCGGGTATTTCTTGCGCTTTGCTAAAACGACACGGTGCTGTCACCTACCCGTAGCAGCTCTCCATTCTAAAAAACTTTAGTTTCTTCACATTACTGTAGCATGTTCAGCAAGGGCAGTCAAGGCCATGCGTCATTTTGTGGAGTCATATTTGTGTTCTTTAACTCTTTTCTTGAAATCCCCAATTTCACCGATGCACTGGCTGTCGCAGTTGTGGCAGGCTATGGCATAAACTAGACCAAGGAAATTTCTGCTCGGCAACTTGTCCTTCACATTAGCTGAAGCATTCCTTAGCTTCCATATTGATACGTCCACTATTTTCATATCTGTTGCTTCTACACATCACACGGCATATCTGACTTTCGAACCACATTTTTCATGTCTGTAAATTTATACGTGTTTGTCTAGGCCACGATTTCGGCTCGGCTTGAAGGCCGCCTGGTTGTCTTGGTTAGAACTGCCATCATCAGAAGCTTTCCGGGCTACTCATGCTTATTATTATTATTATTATTATTATTATTATTATTATTATTATTATTATTATTATTATTATTATTATTATTATTATTATTGGTGATGCAACTGCAAACATCCTCAGCTACACACTTATTGCTGGTAGCTCGTGTTTCAAGGGTAGCACTTGGGTAACTTCAGCTAAATTTCTTATTTCAGTTTCGTGAGATCGTGTAAATAAATCTGCATTTATTTTCAGCATCACGTCCACAGCACAGTACATGAAAGTAACGTGTTGACATTCGTGATTCATCTGTGGGATCAAGGAAGCTGTTGCACCTTGGCAGATTCTTTTTTGCCACCACTATTCCAACGTCGGCACTTTAAACGTTGTCCCCAGGTTTCATTGCAGCCGTACAAGGACTTTCGTTGCACTTCAAGTGTCAGAATCCTGAGACAAAATACTATATGGATAGGCTTGTTGGAAAAAGAAAGAAAGAACATTTTGCAGTACGGCTCTGCTCTTGCATCGTTGTTGTTACTAGTTGCCAAGGCAAGGTACAGAGAATACACGAGTAGTAGTTGTTCTTTTTTTTTAGTTTTTGCTAAAAGTATATTTTAGAGGTGCGCAAATTAATCAGGTACGTAATCGATAGTAAATTGAGCATTCCAGGTCGAGTCAGGTCTAATCTAATTCACATGCTAAATAGTTGAGTCAATAAATACAGCAGTTTAGGTGGATCTAATTCAATCCAATCCGCATCCCAAGTGGCTTGGGCAACCGCCAATATAGTAAATTAGGTTACACTTCAATGGCAGAACCGGCCAGGCTCCCGTGTCCTGATTTTATACGCATGCCGCAAGATGGCACCACTTCTATGTTTTCTAGCAGCATTGATTGCGATGTCGGAATAGCGCAGGGCTCCTTCAAACTTTCATCTGCGGTTACGTTTAACTTGTGTGTTTGCTTTCTGATTCTTCTGAACATCGAACAGCTGACTTGCTGCTCACTGCTTAACTCAGGGGTTTTATTTTGGCTAGATATACATATTTTTTCACACTTACTGCATGCACTCAAAACATTCTGAGTGCATCTGGTAAATGTGTTGCTAATATAGAGTGCCTGATTTTTTTTTTTTACCACTCGAGGGTTCGTTTTCAGTGCACCGAAGTTTTCTATGCAGAATGTGGCGGTCATGGATTTGCTTTTAATTATCATGGGAAAACCTGGAAAAGTCAGGGAATTTAGAAGTGTGAAATTGGTAGACACCTGGTAATATGCAGTTGTGCCCCTGGCTAGTGTCTCTTTTTTTTTTTTTTCATTATTCTTCTATAAACATACCGTAAAAACCAGAATATAGGTTGGACTTAAATATTAAGTCTCCCCATACTTGAAACTCTGAAAAAGAAAATTTTGAAAATCGCAAAGTATCGCGACCCACTCTTATCTTGGTAAATACACGACGCAACTAGCTGCACTGTAGTGACATTTCTTTTTATTTGGACACTAATCTTATGTAGTTAAATGCCAAAAGGCCACAATGTGCTGTCTCTCAGACTCGTTTAAACTCGAGTCCGACCGTCTGTTTTTCACTAGTAACGTCCCAGAGTGCATCGTCCTTCCTTCTATCTAGTGCGTTACTGATGCAGCATTTGCGGAAAGACAGAAGTACGCCACCTCAGCGCAAAGCTCTTCAACTTCATAAATCGGCGCACCAATGATGGCGACCCCTTGAATTGCACCCTCGTGAGCCCAGTCGCGTGTTAACTCGAGAGCTTTCACATGGATGCACTCCGCTGTTACGGGTAGCGACCTTGCACACAGATTCCGCACAAATTTGGCGAGTAGCAGCTTTAGTTCAGGGTGCATTGCTGTCTGTCCACAAAATGATGTTTTTTCGGTTGCTGCTAGCTGTGATGTGCTGCTTTTGGTTCCTTCAGTACCTGATGCATTTCTTCGATGCACCGAATTCTCGTTGTGCCGCCAGGTTACCGTGCATTTCGGCATACTCGATAACTTTTTTCTTAAGACTATCGTAAACTGCCGTCGACTACCACTCATTTCTGAATGAAATAGAGAAAAGAAAACAGCAGACTGACAGCAGATAACCGAGGTGAAAGGGCATTGCTAGAACACTGTAAGTCAATCTTGCTAGGTCGAACAAGGTGATGTAGCCAAAAGCCAGAGCAACCGTAGCCCAACGTAATCAAAGACAAAAAAGAAAAAAATTATTGCAGCCAAATATAGCCATTCACTTTTGCAGCTTTATTTAAACTTATAATTTCACTTTTGACATTTGCAAAATCTTTGTACAATCCGTCCTCAGTGTATCTTCTCTAGTGCGTCCCGAAACCACGATGTGATTATGAGACACACCATAGCAAAGGACTTCATAAATATTCACCAACTGCAATTCTGCACCTAAATCTAAGTAGACGGGCCTCGTTTTTAGTGTACCAAACAGCTTGCGTTGGAGAATGTGAAAGTATCATTATTCAGATGCTTCTTAAGCGAACAACCGCACTTCAAGCTCTTATGTTGTTGGGCAAGCTTTTGACATTAAAAAATTTCAAGAAGAAAATGAAAAGAAAGCAAAATTGTGAAAGTAACATCCCAAGGCGAGCTGTTCTATAGAACCAGCTATAACCAACTCAGCATTATTTAACATATGAAGCAAAACACGACTAAGAATTATTTTTGTACTTCTCCACACAAATTTTATGATCATAGACACCTGCCTTTGCCACCGTCTGTCTCTATGAACATTCAGAAAATGCGCCCAGTTCAGTTTAGCACCACCAATTAACAAAAATGGCTCCTTATTGATGTCTAATGTGGGTTAAAGATGTTTTTACTCCCAATGAATGCATTTCACCTCCTAATGAATGCGTAAATATTGTTGTGGCTGTGAAGGATAGAGTAGTGAATACGGTAGATATTGATCATAGTCGAGGTTTCACACGCCAAAACGACAACATAATTATGAGAGACGCTGTAATTGAGGGATACGGCAACAGCGACCACCTGGGGTTCTTTGAAAGCACGCAGCCCTCTGTGGCATTTCGTCTTCATGGAAATGCGGCCACAGCGGCAGGGATTCAATCCCACGACCTTCAGTCAACAGTCGAGCCACATAACAACTAGCCCATGAGGGTGGGTAAAACTGGATAAAAAATATTTTGGCTAAACTTACTGCAAGTAAAACATATGCCACGCAAAGCACGAGAGGTGAGCACAAGTGCCGAAATCTGATATTGGGCGAAACCCGTGAGCTCATTATTCATCACCATGGCCAGGTGCATGACTCATCACTTTTTGCAAGGTATGCACTCGGACATGTGTAGGTCAAGCAGCATGCACAGCACGCCTATTAGCGTTCCACCAGTAATCTGATTAAATATAGGATTAATTGTTATGTGATCGGCAAAATTGCTGAGGGTTCTGATAAATGAAAGCCCACTTGTACCTATAACTACAAATACCTATCTAGCTCCTTCGCTTTATGTCTTGAATTGTGTCCTGAAATCGCGGGGTTCACATGTCAATACAGCCAAAGTACGGCTTCCGTAAAGGTGGAAAGGCATTCCACAGTTGTGCGAGTGAAAATGGGTATAGACCGCTAGTGCTTATCGCACGGTTTTCTGCTCGCTTAGGCGACAGTCGACACATGTGGACTTGTGGTGAATTTTGAGGTTCTCGGCTTCTTTAAGGTCAATCGGCTTCTTTAAGGTCAAATGTGAATGTGTCAATAGAGGTTTGTGTTCACCCTATATGAGTTACATCTGGAGAGTTAATTGCGACGCCGGACTTACAGCCCAAAAATAAGCCAAGTCTCCGATTTTAGTAGCCCAAATATAGCCACATAGCCAACTAGCCCAAGGCAATGCCAGGACTTTTTTTCTGTAGCTCAATTTGCTAATATAGCTTAACCTGGCAACACTGCTGTAGCCCTTGCCTGGCCTTGCCCAACAGCACCGCTGCTGATGCCTACGATAGCAATGGAGGCTTTGGAATTTAGCTCCCCGTTGTTGCGAGACTTCCACATTTTTTCCTGCCAATGACCGTTATATAAAACGAGGGTCGACTTTTCATTTTTTTTATTCGACGTGTATTCCAGTTTTTACGATAGGCTTGTGCAAATATTCCAGCACTTCACATATTTGAAAAATATATTGCAGTATTAAAATTCACTTCAATTTGAATTTTATTCTTGCAAGTTTTGAAGTATTTGAAATGAATGAACAGGGTTATATACCCTTCAGTTGCGAATTATGATGCATTGTCTACAAATGTGTAAATTCACATAGCATAATTCCAATACACTGCATATTACATTTTAAAAAAAGCAGAAGCAATATGTTATTTCATGCGAGTTTCACACATTGTTATTAGCATGTAATCAAATATATTATTATTCTATCCTCAGTCACCTTCCATTTTGACATAAAGGGAATGATAGCATAGGCTCCAAATGTATGCACAATTAGTTTTTGGTTGTATTCACTTACGTAAAAGAAAAGTAGTACTCTTGACATTGATTCTGGAATAAGCATGTCGAACATCTTAATGCCTTCACCAAGGTGATCGGCAGTAGTGATATACAGTGATGTTAAGTCTAGACATAATGTTTATGCAGAAAGTTCAGTACTATATGCAATCAGCAATGTATATTGCTCTCTATTCGCCACATGTGGACACAACTGGCATAAAGAAGTTGCATACACAAATGTACCACTGCTGCTGAATGGGATATTAGTCTCCTCGACCTCTCCCTTTCTCTGCTCTTAAAGGTGGTTCCACTGCATCGTAGGGTGCTGTACCATGAATACACATATCCAGGGAAAATCAGCATTGTTGCCAAGCCTCACTTAAAAGTTACCCTCACATTGATTCATCCTTCTTTTTTTTACATTAGAAGATTGTTATACTGGCTTGTATACTATACTATGCTCTTGGCAAATTTTAAACTGTAATATACTTTACAGATTATCACTTCATTCTACTGAAAGTAAAATTTGGCTACTATTCAAAGTTGCTTATACTCTTTTTAAACCAGATAGAATACATTTGCACAAGCCTTATTTCAGTTTTTATGAAATATTGTGCAGGTTGAATGCAATTTGAAATTATTTGACCAAATCACTATCTATTTTGAATTTGCTTCATACCTAAAGTTTACTATTTGCAAAAGCCTAACAAACATGATAAGAAGTTTTTCTTAACTCCTTTCTTGCAGACCGATATCTATTTTATTGTCCATAGTAATTTTAGTGTTGTGAAGTTTAGGCATTTTCAAAGTAACTTGACATTGTGCTTGCAGGCCCCACCAGTGCCCTCACTGTCTCAATCGATATGCTACGCCAGAAGCATTAGCTCATCACCAAGCCACCTGCAGTCACAACTACCCATGCCCAATATGCCGAAAAGTGTTCCCTTGTGAGCGATATCTTCGGCGCCATTTAATTGTTCATCGAGCGTCAACACCCCACGTCTGCTCAGTGTGCCACAAAGGTTTCAAGACTGACCATTACCTTAAGGTAAGCAGCATGTTTGTCTAACCTAGAGAACTCACCATGGTTACTCGGCACATATGGCTTTGCATGGCTGAGCGTGAGTTCATTCTGAAATTAGATCTCAGGCAGCAGCATCTCATTTCAGTGGATGTGACCAGATGCTCATGCACTGAAATAGCATGGCATGTAAAAAATCCTGTATGATCTAAATGAAAGATTCTCTACACAGCATCTTCAAGCTGGCCAGCATCTGTGCTAAGCACATGTTTGCTGAACCTGTCATTCCGATTGTGGCACTTGGTGTTACAGGCTGATGGGTGCTTTGTGTAGTTGTGTAAAGGGAACAGCACACTGTTGGTAGTGACCATGTTGCAAAATGTTTTACAGAGAGTCGCAAAGGTGAAACCTTTATGCAGTCTTGAGTAACACCCACTTCCGGAGCATAAGATGTGTTTACATTGTCTACTGTCCATTGTGTTCACGCTATTTACAAAGTCAATAGATAATAGTATTAGGGCCACCTTAGAAAAAGATCAACCAAAGTACAAAGTAGGATTTCGTAGAGGCTACTCAAAAGTAGACCATATTTACACTCTTTTGTCAGGTGACAGAGAAATGAGCAGAATATAACCAGTCCCTCATATAACCAGCTTTCATAGATAACACGGCTGCATTTGATATTTGGTAGAAACATCAGGAGTCATGCAGGCACTATAAAATGACTGTATTGATGAACCATATATAAAAATACTGGAAGAAATTGCCACGAAATGCTGGAGTCTGCATCCGGTGTTGCACGGGACACGCCAAGGGACGTAAGTGGGACTGTTTGTAGTGAGAGAGCCTGTTGCGCGGCAAACTGCTTCCAGCTGTTCACCACATGCCTACAGGAGCTTTTCGGGGCTGTAGATTGGGAGTATTTAGCAATATAAGTTAGTGGAGAGGGCCTTAGTAACCTGTAATTATCCGAGAAAATTGTCTTGATTTGGGGGACTAATAGCAAATCATGACAGAGTTGAATAAGAAAATTAGAACGGTAGGTCTGAAAATCAATAGGCAGAACACTGAATCAATGTTTAACAGTCTTGGAAGAGATTGTTTTGCACCACGTAGAGAGGCACTGAAAAGGAATATGTTTACATTGACCACAGATCCGAAGAAGAAGTCTTAAGTGACAAGAAGAAAAGAATGTGGTGGGGAGCGCATTTGGCTGGCATTCTCAAATCACAAATGGTAGTTTACCACCATTTCTCAAAAGAAAGGTATAATATAGTGGCTGCATCTTACTAGTTCGTACCTGCAAAGCAGAAATCCAGAATAAATGGGCATCATCAGAGTATTTAATGGGAAGGCTAGATAACCACTGGTCGTTAAAGGTACATAACAGGTCGGATCCCAAGAGGAGGCAAACGCGCAAGTGTGAGACAGGAAGTTATGTGGGCAGATGAGATTCAGTAATACCTCATTAACTCGAACTCGCATATCTCAAAAAATCAGCCAAGTCAAAATTTTCCGCAGCACCGAACCTTTTTTTGTTACGTTCCATGCATTTTTTTCCCTTTATCTCGAAGTATTTCTGGATAGGGTTGCGGATATCTCGAAATCTTGAGTGGGAGTAAAAAAAAATTTCGTCATTGGACCATTACACAAGATTTGCGCGATGCTACTATGCCTGAAATCCGTCAAATTTTTACTTTTTATTTGTTATTTAGCCGTGCCTGCCGCTATGTCGATACTTTCCACGACCATGAAGTCTGAGCCTAGCGGCATATCAACTTTGTCGAGCAACCCTGTAGCACATCATGTGACTCCCACGCAGCAGGTATAGACGGTTTCGGTGTTCGTAAACAAGCTGACTAGCGTTGAACGGCCTACCCCAGCAGACTTCCGGTGCGGCACTTTCGGCAATGCTTTTTCTGTAGTTCTGACAGTGTTTTCGTGGTGTGTTTCAGTTTGCTGTTCTTTTATTTCTGGCGCATTCCTTAGGATGTGTTTGCAGCAACGTCTAGCGGCTACATGAAGGGGCTCACTGCTCGCATGGCCGATGGGCGCCGCGCAAAATATCCGTCGTGGCGTTCCGATCAGCGTGGCACCCTGCTCTGTGTTGCCTCTGATAGTGGTCGCGCCTATATACTCAGAAAATGCATAAACTGCAGGAGAAGTTTGTCAGTGAACTTAATTGGGCCAGTTCGTTCTGCATGGCAACAATGTGGATGCGCTTTGAAGACGCGGAGCGGGAATGGACAGCGCACGCACGTTGTCGACATGCAGAAGAAGAGCCGCTCGATTCATTGTGCAGTTGTTCAATTCATCAATTCATCTTTTCGACTAGAACTATAAACCTTCCTCCTGTTGATTCCCGAATTTACTTGTGTTTTCGTCTAAGCATACAACCTCACGATAAAATGCTTATTTCTGCGCCTGTGTCACACCGGGCACTTTTTAAAGGGATTAGCGGCGATCAGAATAGATTGTGATCTGAAGTGTTCATGTGACTGAGAAATTATAAAATGTGCTGAAGTGATGACGTCAAGTGCGGGCTGCAGGGTCACGCGAACTATTATGGTTTACTCACGAATAAGCTATTCATGAATCAAACTTTCTAGTTGAACCTACCTAAATTTTGCAGTCTATGTTCACTCCTAAAGGATACATTAGCGATAATGCGGGCGATGTTCATTAGCGGCAGAAAGGCAGGCGATGAGTCATTTGCTCGCACCTATGAGAGCCCACCGCCGGCTTCGCTTTAAAAAAAAAAAATCAAATGCACCGACAACGAAAACGTGAACACCACAACGTACACTGTGCGGCGATTCATGTTCAGTGCGAGTACTTCGCGTCCCGTGTCGTTTCGAACAGTGGACATAATTGATATCGCTCAAACCATAAAATAAACAACTTTGAGATGGATTTTCAGTGTTGGCATTCACGTTTTGCTGCCCATTTCAGGCGTCAGTACACTTATGTGCCATGGGTGCAACACGACAGTGACTGCATGATGTGTTCCCAGTAACCGGGCGCCTTCTACTAGTTAACGTCTGAGTATCGCCTCTGTGCCATCAGTCTGCGCTGAGCTTTAAATTGCTTTTGATGAAGTGCCGAACAAACCTACACGCTCTTAGTGGGAATCCAGTTTTCTCGCGTGATCGCTACAATGCAGGCGCTCTATCTTCATCAGTCCGTAAACAGAACGTTTTGACTAGCATATAAATTAATTTAGGCCTGTAGACTGCATTGTGGCTTGACACAGCTGTGCTCGAGTTGCCAACGCTTCATCGGAATAACTCTATCCTCATAAAACATTGGAACACAAGTAGCCACGGCCAGCAACAAACGCTAAAACCACGCAAAAACAAGCTAAATCAGAAGTTTCCAGAGGTGGTTTTCCGGTGAATGCACAATGTTGCTAGAGACCGGCAGGCTCTGGCGAAACCGTCTATAGAGGCTAGAAAGGTTTTCCTAGTGTCGCGAACGGGCGCCTTCCCAGGCGGTGGCAGAGAAACTAGAAACTAGATTTAAACATCCTTCGTGCGTCATCAAATACATACCGGCGATGCTAGTGTTGTTAGACGGCGACCATATTGTGTTTCCCAGTCTGAACGCCAGGTCATACAATGAGAAGTCGAGAAGTCCATGGGCGTCACCTGTTGCTTTAGTCAAAAAGGATGGCAGCTGGAGATTTTGCGTTGACTACCATGCCTTGAACAAGATAACCCGCAAAGACGTATATCTGCTGCCACGAATCGATGACGCCCTTGTCTGCCTTCATGGCGCGCGATACTTCTCATCTATAGGTCTGTGTTCAGGCCACTGCTAAATTTCTGTCGACAATTTAGACTGAGAAAAAACTGCCTTCATCACAACGGACGGCCTTTATTAGTTCAAGGTTTTGCCTTTTGGGCTGTGCAGCGCCACGGCAAGGTTTGAACGCATAATGGACTCTCTCCTTCGTGGTTATAAATGGTCCATCTGCCTTTGCTACTTCGACGATGTGATTGTTTTTTCCTTAACATTTGAAAGCCACCTAACTTGTTTGTCGACCATTCTAGCCGTTTTTCGTCGAGCAGGACTCCAGCTGAACTCTAAAAAGGGCAATTTCAGCCGACAAGAAATCACGGTCCTTGGTCATCGTGTAAGTGCTGCTGGCGTCCAACCAGACCCTGACAAGATTAGCGCTTTCAAGAATTTCCCTCTGCCTTCTTCCACCAAAGATGTTCGTAGTTTTGTGGGCTTATGCTCGTACTTCCAACGTTTTATACGCAATTTCACTACAATTGCATGACCACTAACTGATCTTCTCAAAAAGAATGTGCCCTTCTCGTAGGGCCAAGACCAAGCAGCTGCATTTTCCACGCTGATCGACCTGCTCACTTGATCACCAGTACTAGCCTACTTCAATCCGTCCGCGATGACTGAAGTTCGCACAGACGCCAGTGCTCACGGCATCGGCGCCGTTCTCGCTTAACACCAGGAAGGTCAAACACGTGTTATTGCGTATGCCAGCCGCCTTCTCTCCACATCTGAGCGAAACTATTCAATAACGGAGCACGAGTGTCTTGTGTTGGTCTGGGCTGCAGCAAAATTTCACATTTACTTGTATGGCCAGGAGTTTTCAGTTATTGCGGACCACCACGATCGGTGTTGGTTGCCGTCGCTCAAGGACCCAACTGGTCGCCCAGGTCGCTGGGCTCTACATCTCCAGGAGTATAACTTCGACGTAATTTATAAGTCTGGCAAGCTGCACCTAGATGCCGATTGTCTCTCCCGTTATTCGGTGGACACTGCTAGCCTTGCTGTCCATGAGAGCGATTCTTGTGTACTCGCCATATCTAATTTGCGGAACATCGGCACAGAGCAGTGCCGGGACAAAACCCTCAAGGCGGTCATTGAGCGAGCGTCTTCAGGACATTCCGACCTTTCGCTCTGTCAATATGTCCTTCGCAACTAAATTCTGTATCGCCGCAACATGAAGACTGATGGCCCGGAATTTTCGTTAGTTATTCCCCGACACCTGCATGTCACTATTTTTCAACATCTGCATGACGCTCCAACGGCGGGACACCTGGGTCTTTCACGCACCTATCACCGCGTGCGGCAATGGTTCTTTTGGCCTGGTGTGTATAAATTTGTGTGCCGTTATGTCGCTGCTTGCGAGTGCTGCCAGCGTCGCAAACGTCCTGCTCTCCATCCGACTGGTCTGCTCCAACCTATCAACATTCCCCTGGAACCATTCTTCCGCGTCGGCCTCGACTTTCTCGGGGCTTTCCCGACGTCTGTGTCAGGCAACAAATGAATCGCTGTCGCAACTGACTATGTGGCCAGATACGCTATAACTTGTGCCTTACCAACTAGCTGCGCTACAGGCATCACAGACTTTCTACTGAATGACGTCATTCTGCGGCATGGGCCTCCATGCCACCTTCTGGCGGTCGTGGCCACTGCTTCCGCGCGAAAATTATCAATGAAATCCTCTGTAGCTGCTCTACCAAACGTCGCCTTACTACTGCGTACCATCCCCAGACCAACGGTCTCACGGAGCGTCCCAACTCTTACAGAGATGTTGTCTTTGTACGTCTCTGCTGACCACCATGACTGAGATTGAATGCTCCCCTATGTTACGTTTGCGTATAATTCGTCAAGGCATGACACTGCGGGCTATTCTCCGTTCTTTCTTCTGTACTGTCGCAACTCTGCGCTTTTTTTTCGCAACTCTGCACTCCCTCCTTCTGATACTATCCAACCAACAATGTATGCTCAGAACGTTGCTTCTCGAGCCCGCGCTGCTCACCAAATCATGCACACTAGGCTCAGTGCTTCTCAGGCCTCACAAAAAGTCCACTACAATGACTGGCACTGCGACGTTGACTACCCTGCTGACTCTCTTATCCCACTTAGGATGCCGTATCGACGTGAAGGCTTGTGCGGGAAGCTCCTCCTACGATACACAGGGCCCTACAAAGTTCTCCGCAAGGTCACCGACGTTGACTACCTCATCACTCTCGTTCAACCACACTCATCTTCTGCCACACCACCTACTGATGCTGTTCATGTGTCGCGCCTAAAACGCTACTATACTGCCAGTCCTAATTGACTTAGGGGCGCTGTCACGGCGCTTTGTCCGCCGGGGGTTATGTTGCAAGGCAGTGGAAATGGCTTCGCCGTTATAGACGAATCGATAAAGAAGCGGACTCGCTGCGCGAGATGCTGGCAGCCCTGGGGTATCACACCTACCTGTAAATGTTGGAAATGCACTCGTTTCTCTCTTTCATGTGTTTGTAATCCCCGTGACAGTACTCAAACGCAACTGTGTGGAAAAGAATGCTAGTAAACTGGAACTGAAGCCCCGAATCTCCTACATTCGTTCCATGTGCGCTATATATCCCGCTTGTATGTGCTGTTCAGATGAAGATAACGTGGCAGCATATTCTGAAGGTCAGTTTTCTTTCATTCGTTTACAATTTATTGGCACCCTGTGTGACGAGCACAGCGACTTTCTTCCGTTATCACAAAGCTTGTTTTGAACGAGAAATGCCTGAGAGCGCGGACCCAGACGTGTAAATGCAGCACGCCAGCAAGCGGTTGCGCCCTCTGGAGGCTGTATCGTAAACTCTTACAGCTTTGGCGCCTCATTTACGACACTAGAAAAACCTTTCTAGCCACTATACAGCAGGCCTAGCTCTTTGCCCCATGCTTGGCGTAGTCGCGTGGTTTGGGGGGCGAAGCTCCCTATGCTGTGGGTCGGGCGTCCGCGATGTATGTAGTAGTAGTAGTAGTAGGTAGCCACCTCCACGGCTGGACTAAAGGAGCGGCACGCGTGCACCCTTTTCAATTCAGGAGGAAAGCAGCGACGTTAATCATAAATTAAAAGATAGTTGTTTCTGATGAAATAACTTACAGAGACGAGTATTAGTGACTTAATCTTCAATAAATTTTGCCTTGAATTCGATGCTTAAAAAAAAAAAACTAGTATCAGAAGGACGCACTGTGAGCACTATCTGACCAGAAAGGGTTGCTGGGCATAACCTCCATGGTTTTAGCAAGGTTTAGCGAGGGTTTGGGCGCAGTGCCATGAATATAGCGAACTAGTATATAGCCACGAACTAGAGGCGGCGAAAGGTGGGATGTAGACACAACGCGCAGGCCGTAAGAAAGTGCGCGTGTACCACCTCTCGTTCAGTCCTTGGAATGTCCGATGAATGGTGGTACTTCTATATGCTGAATATATGATGAAAAAATGCGAGATGGCGGTACTTGGATTGTTCACTAGATTGACGGATGGACAGACAGACAGATGCACGGACGAACGCAGGGACGGACGCACAGAGGGATGCACGACGAACGGATGCACTGACGGACGCACGGACGGACATGTGAAGGCTTTGCCCCACTCATCATCATGCACTCCGTGGATATGCTGTGATTTATTTCTTGTTCATGTGGCAGTGCTTGTTGTTTTTCTAAGGTGTGATTTCCGTTCACTCCAATCTGCTCAACGCGCATGCGGTACATATTTAACGCCGACTTTGAGGAGCGGCGACTTAGCGCGAGTACGGCAAGCATGGCGTCACAAAAGCAGTGCAAGTCACTAACGCTAGAAAAGAAGGTTGCCTTAATTAAGGAAGTGAAGAAAGGAGGCCAAACGAAATCAACCATCGCGCAGGAGTTTGGCACCCCTTTGTCTACGCTTTCGAACGGCGCTGATGAGCAAGCAGATCGTGCTCGATAGATATCAGCAGAGCTTCTCAAGCCAGTGGAAGCAGGTTCGAGGCTCGAAGTGTGGTGACTTTTCTTGAATACGTGCTGTGCGAGCAGGATATGCCGGTGACCGGAGAAATGACGGATGCCAAAATCGTTCAAGTGGCCAATAACGTAGGGGGCGGCGGAAACGACGCCGATGACGAACCACCTCGAGAGGTGCCGACATCTACAGAAACAAGAAATTTGCCACGTTTGCTTCGAAATAAGGTGGAGTGCAGCGGCGGGGAAGATCGTCTAATGCGATGCATGAAAGCAGCTGGAGGACGCCTTCCTAGGCCCGAGCACGACCGCAAAGCAGACGAGCATTAGGGAGTTTTTCTTCACGAAATAAAATGGCAGTGCTGCAAAATCCACCTGGTTGTCTCTTGTGCGATATTTTTTTTCTCTTTAAACTTTCACGATAAGAAACATTAGATACTGCTGCTGAAGAGCCGGTAAGTAGTTGTGATTTTGTTAAAAAACGCTTGATTTTTCCCGGCGATTTGCGCAACTTCGCTTATATCGATTTTTTTTTTTTTTTTTTTTTTTTTTTTTACAACTTCGAGTTAACGGGGATTACTTAGTTTGCGGGTATAATGTAACTCCAGCAAGCACAGGACTGGGTTGATATGGTGAAAGATAGGAGAAGCCTTTGCCCTGCTGTTGGCCTACTCTGGCTAATGATGATGATAATGTTGACTACATATTTTTCGCTTTGTACCTTCATCGTGCTTTAGGAGCAAAGTGAAACAGATAAATCAAACAAGTCACAGTATGAAACATTTTCTTTATTGGCCTGGGCCATTTACTCAGCTAGGCCAACTTGACATGCTGATTTGTGTGTTGTTTTTTATTTGTCTTCAAAGAGATATGGCTGAAGGCTAACTGCATAAAATTGCATACCTCATAAAATGTGTAGTTGTGGCCCCGCTGCGGTGGTCTAATGGCTAAGGTACTCGGCTGCTGACCCACAGGTCACAGGATCGAATCCCGGCTGCGGCAGCTGCATTTTCGATGGAGGCGGAAATGCTGTAGGCCCGCGTGCTCAGATTTGGGTGCACGTTGAAGAACCCCAAGTGGTCGAAATTTCCGCACCGCTCCACTACGGCGTCTCTCATAATCATATGGTGGTTTCATAATCATAAGCTTAGTTCTGGATAGTGTAGGTGTACAGAAGCATCACAGAACACTTAGAGAAGAAAATATTCTTCCTACTGAAACTGAAAATGAAAAGAAAAAAAGCCACGATGAATTTTTTTCAGTTGAAACAACACTTCCTATCCTGTACAATCAGAAAATGCACATCTGTGTCTGTAATTTTACCAGCTTTCACAAGACCCCACACAGACAACACGCATGAGAGGATTAATGCATCAAACATAAACAAACCTTTAAATGTCTTCACTATTTTTTTTATTTATTATTATTGTAGAAGAATGTTAATAAAAAAAATTAACCTGTGTTCCACTGAGCACTCGGTAAAAGCTGGGAGGAAGGACTTCATAAGTTGTCAAGTGCTGTATGCTGTCACTCTCTTGGACTGGGTGGTCAGGGCGTCCAGCTATGCCCCTTGAATCCCCGCATGTATGGACATACTCATATGATTGAAGAACTGTTCCTTTAGCCTTGCTGCCTACATGGAGTAGAAGTACTTCATCGAGGCTGCTGAGGACTTGCCCTGGCATGACATTCCTTGAAGCCCTTGCTCTGATGGTCTTGCTTCTGTCGTGACATTCAACTGAATTGTAAATGAGACATGCTTTATAAGGGGAGAAGTCTGTGAACCTTGCCTGAATTTTTTTTTTTTTCACTTTAAATCTGCATCATTGTTTTAGAATGACTACGATTATTCTCTGTTGCTTCTTGATATCAATTTTTTTGCTTTACATCATTATCACTTTCATAAAAACTAGACTTGTTCTTATGCACTCAGTGGTAGTTTTCCCCACTTATGTTTCATTTATTTTTCTCCATTTTGAACAGGTCCATGCAGTTGTGCACTCTGCAGAGAAGCCTTTCCTCTGTTCCCAGTGTGGAGCTACATTCAACCGACAGGACAAGCTGAAACGGCACTACCTTGTTCATGAATCAGTCAAACGATTCAAATGCCCTTTTGCTGCGCACCTAGGCTGCCGCAAAGAGTTCAACCGTGCTGACAAGCTGAAATCGCACTTATTGACTCACAGTGGCGTGAGACCCTACGAGTGCCGCACATGTGGTCGTGGTTTCACGCAGAAACAAAGGCTGCATGAGCATGAGAAACTTCACTCTGACGTTCGCTCATATCAGTGCACCAGTTGCCAGCAGAGCTTCTTGAACCGCAAAGCACTGGATGACCATGCATGCGCTGGCGCAGCCCACCACAACCGACAGGCATGGTCTGCGGCACTTCGAGGGCAGCGGCGGCGCTTTAACAGCCCAAGGGCAGTCAAAGCAAGAGCGCGATTGGCAAAAGGGCGATCGACTGCAGCTGAGGATGGCGTGGATGAACTTGCCGGCGAGCCTGTTGAGTTAGGTAAAGGTGTGGGTGAGAAACAGCTTGACTCTACTGGGCCCAATTTGGAAGAATTGGAATGTGCAGAGGATATTCCAACAGCACACATTGAGATTATTTCAGCAACAGGAGATTTGGACACTGCAGTTGCTGCTGTGACACAGGTGTACCAGCCTGTAGAAGAAACCGTGGTGGTCAATGGTGTAGAGGAAACTACTATTTTATATGAAGCTGTAGACGAACCTTATAGTGAGGTAGTTTAAGAAGCATTGCATATTATGACACATCCTTCTGGCTGCTGGCAACTTGCCAAGCATTCTTTTCATCACGAGACACTACTTGGTGCTAAACATAAATTTTGAAGGCTTTTGTCGTGTTGATGACATGTCTGTGTCTTGTTCAGTCTCATGAGTACAGCTGTCGAGCTTCAGTGTCAAAGAAAGATATTTCCTGGCAAAGGTCAGGAATGATCTCTCTTTGTGTCCAAGTGTTCAAAGAGGCTTTACAATAATATACAGACTTCTCGTAGCCTAAAACTGGTTGTGAATGGATTGTGAGACACGTTTTTTAAGCAACTTCATTTTGCGTGCTGTGTGAACAGTGCAAGACATGCTGTGCATATCTGTCATCATCGCACCCTCTTGAGGGCAGAACTTTTGTGACAACTACACTGTTCGTTTGCAGATCTGTTCATTCCTTCTGAAGGGGTGTACAGAATTTTCTGTACGGCAAACTGTGTATAGTTGATTTTTTCTAGTGCTTAAGATTATACGACTGTAATCTTTAGGAGAGCTTATAGCTATGGCAACATAGTAGCCTCCTTAAAAGGCAGGGTTAACCTTTTTTTATTGTGAGAACAAAACAGCACGCACAAGTAACACTAGCTACCTCCTGAAATTTAAATTGGCTAAATACTATTTATTTAGTATGTTATCAAGCACATCGCTATGAATAGTGGATCTTCTTGTATTGGAATTTGTTTATTGGTATACGAAAGAGACATGTTTAGCTGATTTGATAAATTTGACCTTGTCATCATCTGAAATGTCAACCTTACCTAAAGCGCAATGCAATTTGGAAAAGAACATAAAAACTAGATAGGATGTACACTAGTCCTCATGCTAGGTCTTTGTGATGTATTGAGAAAAATAGCATCTGCTCAGGACTAGAGTTTGTAAATAAAGATTTCATTTCATTATAAAACCAAAGATTGAACTGGACTGATGACATTTTCAGAACAAGATTGCTCAAACAAGAAAAAATCTTACTTGATGTCATGCTAACAGTGCCGGGGTATGGGCAAAAATTCAAGAAGGTGAGCTACCCTCCATTTTTAGCTTTTCACTAGTTAAATGTGTGCTTGGCTTTGAATGTTTCACTTGGCCTAAGTGTTGCTCTTATTGCCCCTTTTAATTTCTGCATGTACAACAATAGCAAGTACCAAATAGAGAAATTTGTGGAACCTAATAGTGTCTTTCTAGTTATTAGGTGTCTTCCCCACTACACGTATGATAATTTCATTGATCGAAAGTACTGCTGTTCAGTGCTTCTTCTAATGGTCCGAGCTTTTAGAACAACGGAGATATAATCATGCTCGATACGAAAAGTAACACTGAAATCACCTTCGAAATGCCCAAGGCTAAATAGAGAAAGCAAGCACAGAAATGTTCGCAACTGAACGTTAGTGGAAAGGAATCTCTCGGATACTAATGTGACAGATTCCTGCCCGCACATTAGACTAATCGTTGGTAAGCGTGAACTTAGTAGTTCCCCCCTTTCACATCGCTCATGTCTGTACATACCAGACAAATATGAATGTGTCTTCAAATGTCTTTTCCCCTTAGTATGATCAAATGAATTTTATAGGTACCTAGTATTTTATTGCCATAACATTATCTTTTTCCGCTATTGGTGTAAATACACTGGGAGATATGATAGTAAGTAATACTAATTGTAATGCCTGTTTTGGCATATAATTAGCTTCATAGAACACCTTATACCAGGCATTTATTTTTACTCTGAACATTTCAATAAAAAAGTTTTTTTGGCCCATTCCATTGTTACTGGGATGGACATTATTTATTGATTGTAAAGGTGCTAATTATACAATGTTAGCTAAAACAATACAGATCCTGTGGTTATCATTGATAATACCAAAACCAATAGCAAGTTGACTCCATTACTATAATATGCAAGACAAAAGTGAGTTAAAAAAGAACATTGTATTGCTTAATAGATTACTTGCTTCGTTATGATTATCAGTTTGGTGGGATATGGCTCTAGCTTGAGGAGCAGTTAATCAGATTGTAAACAATGGCTATAGAAGCAGTGTTAAAAAACAAACTTTTTGGTGAGACGCTAAAGAAGCAAGTGCTGGGAAAGTTCGCATGGTCAAGATGCTTGGAATTCTGTAATATTTGTACAGTACAAAAGAAACTGAATTATTCTGGACAAGTGGCCTCACATGGCTGTATCATACTCTAGTTAAGAGTGTATCAGTGTTTATTAAGTTACAATTGGCCGTAAGAGAGTTATCTACTATCATTTCACTAATTAGAATACACAGACTAACTTTTTAGCTGACTTAAAATTGCAAAGTTAGGGCAAAGTCTTTGTGAAGTAATGCACCAAGTAGAAATTTGAAGAAATGCACTTCATTCAAGGTATACGTACCCAAAATGTGCTTGAAAAAATGCTGTGGTCCCTAACTTAGAAGGCACCCTCTCAGGAGACTATTATTTAGTGGAACAAATAGGGTATTTTGAAGCACATGAGATTTTCTCGAATGTTGTGCTTAGTGTCATGGTTTCTCATAACGCTCGGGGAGAGCTTTTCTGGCGCTGTTGTAGAAGCTACAGAACTTAAACGCATGCCTGCCAGCGAATTATAAAATACTAATATGAACCTAATTTTATTAAGTGTTCTCATTTCACTTGTTCAAGCAAATATTGCTTTATTATCATGAAACTAGAACAGTTGTGGTAAGTGATTAGTAAATAATATTGCACATGCTACTACGATTTGTTTTCCCCCATGTCAGCACCACATTTTCCACACACCTGTTCTCCGCAGTGGACATGGCGCCCCAGTGTGCGTTGGTCTTTGTGGGCTGCAAAACACGCTGTTTAGGTCTCCAAGAAAACATACCCAAATGTAACACTGAAATGCACAATGAACGATCAGAATGTGTCTTTCTTACTAACATTTTTATATATATGTTTTTCTAATTGTATTGAGGCAGCAAGCAAGTGAAACCACAACTGGGACTGATGTCAGATTGCAAGATGCCATGCTACTAGTGGAGTAACATGAATGGGGGAAGCCCCGCCTCTGGTAGCTTTGGCCCCACTACTAAGATAAGTTGTCCCGAGTATAAGTGGACTTTATTCCTCTGCTTTTGTTTAGAAATACACTGTGTCCTAAAGTCAATGGTTCCGTGGATGTGTCGCTGCACAATTGTATTACATAACTAATTGAACTGTGAATCCCTTCTTACCCCATCCCTTGTGAGCTACTGTTGAGGTGTCGCACTGATGCAGACAGTTATGGGGCTCACATTTCTCTTCTTTTCTTTTTAAGAATCACATAAGAAGAAAGAATGGCGAACATGCGACAGACAACATCCCGCGTATTTTGCCGCTGCCCTGTAGTGAATATCGGGACTTCGAAAGTTTTGGTCATATGGTATATTTCTCCGCTCGTCACCTTCTCACCTGCTCTCCAGAAGCGTGCCGCATTCCAGTAGCAGATTGAGTGGCCCTGCTTTCAGTGCTCTGCCCCCTACTCCTCACTGCACGACACCCCTACTCCTGTTCTCTCAATGGAATTCTTCATGTAACCCTACATCTATTGGCATCTCCTACGAAAATGTATAGTAACAAATGGTCACCTAGCTTGACCCACTGGAATTTAAGCCTAGCATTTCGCCCATTTCTTCTTGATCTTTTTTATCGTGATTAAAACTTCTGTACATCAACCCATGCCGGTATTCACCTCCGCTTCATCAATATTTTGCCTATATTGACCACAAATCGTGCTTCCATCCACTTTGAGTCCCAACACTGCCAGAAGATGGTTGTTGACTGCAGTTCTTGCAGGGTCAGTGATGGGATAGCTGTGTTCCATTTTCCTTTTCCATTTCCTGTACTGTCCTCTGATGTTTTGGAAGTGTTTGGTAGGAGTTGGGGGAAAACTGGCATTGGAAGAATGAAGGCCTTTGAGACAGAGACGTTTCGCGACTCTTCCGCTAGGGAAGGGTGCATGCGCTGCGGCATCGGGGAAAAAGGCAGATCGCATCAAGCGACAAAACCTGCTACATAATGAAGTAACGGGCGTGGTTACAATCTGGGAAAAGTAATAATGACGTAGTTGTTCTTGTATGTCAGTTTTACTTGACTGACTGTATTAATTACAGAAGGAAAGATGGAAATTTAAGGCTCGTTTCTCTTTGTTAGTCACAATGTTGAAGGGGCCCTGCAACACTTTTGAGCTGCCGATCGGTACTGGAGGCTCTAAAGAACACGGGAGCCAAATATTATAGTGCAGCACTCTGTCTGCTGTTCACAATAAATTATCAGTCAGCTGAAAATTGCTTTCTCTTCTCTCAACAAATCACGGAAGACACTCAAAAATCATTCATGGAAGACCTTCTATGATTTCAACATGGCGTGATCGGTTGTTACAGGGATCGCTGCGGGGGCCACGACTTGTCCACGCATGCGCACGCATTCGCACTGAAAAATCCGGGTATTTGAATAAAAAAAATAAAAAAGTGCTCAAGGTCGCGAGGCCCGCATGATGTATTCTCTGTGCCCATGCCATTCCTTCCCCCCCTGCTTAGCTTCCAGCGCTTTCGTTGGGACAAGAAAAGAAAGAATGCGATTGCAACCAGGGTTACCAGATTGGGCTATTAATAGCGGAATCGAACTACTTTTTGTTCGAGTTGGCATCAAAATTTTCTCTTTTGCTATGTGGCTATTTTTGGGCTACATAGTTACCGACTAGGCAAGAACTTACAATGGTGGAGAATTTTCTAACCAGGGACCCTAAACGGCTTAAGCACGTACGCATTCCTTTGTAATCTCAGCCTCCCCTATGGATATACAAAGAACACAAGGCCCCAAGAACATGCGCGTGCTTCCTGGGGGCCCGCCACCATGATACTCCAATGTGTTCAACGATCCTTGCGCTTGGAGACTTAGTCCAAGAAAGAGCTTGACGTGTCATCAGACTCATCACTTTGAAAATGTGTTTTGAGGGCGAGCGGGCACCGGCCCCCCTCTCACCCCCCGGGTCCCTTTGATTATTCTGGGATTGAGCAAAGGGAGCCTTTAAATGTGGTCTTTAGACAAAAGGTAGGTGAACTGAGAAAAACTATTTTAACTCCAACCAATGTAAAGTTCGTGAAACCGACTTGGCTCCTCCATCAGGGAGACCATGGCGACGTTACAGCAGCGTCTTGAAAGCACTTGCATGGTGGTTAATGACTCGACATTTTGCCGTGGAGCGGAGTCTTTGTGCATACACCGGGGGAGGGGTTCTGAGGGAACAATAAATATTTTGGGCCATTCGCTGTATATGCCACGATTTGGTTGTAGCGTGCTCCTCCAGTTAGTCTCGCTTTCCAGGATGGTTGTATGATTGATATTTATCTTTTCGAACGTCTCACAATATTACAGCGAAAGCTGTTATGAGATCACAACTCTGGTCACGCGCAGTTGTCCGCTGCCGCCGCCTGTGTCCGTAACCACATTGCGCGAAATTTTAAAAAACGTTGCATCAAAAGCACAGTGGGATTCAAACCCGGGTCTGCTGGGTGCCAGCCCAGTATTCTACCACTGAGCTGCGCCGGTGCTTGTGACTTGTTGGCAAACCTAGCACCATAGATACAGTGGGCTCGAACCTGGGTCTGCTGGGTGCCAGCCCACTATTCTACCACTGAGCTACGCTGGTGCTTGTGAATTGTTGGCAAACTTGCCTTAGGCAGGCTTGATGTCGAGAAAGCAATCGCGTTAATATGACTTATAAAGCGTATTAAAACAATGAAAGAACAACCAGTCGTCGCACAATGCGAATAGTTTGGCGAGTGCGCCGTCTAATGCTCCAACCCATTATAAAAGCTTGTTCTTGTTCCCCGATTAACTCTAGCACATATCCGCTTCAGCCATAATTCCTCATCGTTGTCAGCCACTGCATGACAAATTGGCAC